TAGTTATAGTAAACATACTATGTCCTCAAGTTATCAATGAACAGGAACACTCAGTAAAGAGGATTCCTGTTCATTGATAACAGGGGATATAGAAAAAGAGTTTGAGTCCCCAATCTGTTTTCTATTTGAAAAGGGAAATATCAGGGGTCTGTTTAAACCCCCAATATTTCCCAGAAGCCCCTAAAAGTAAAGTAAAAAATAAAAACATTTCATAAAAAATGAATTAAAATAAAATATTAAAAAAATTAAAAAGTTTATAAAAAATAAAATATTTAAAAGAATTTGAAAAAGTCAAAATAAAAAAAGTTTGGTTTCGGCCTGACATTTTTTTTATTTCGGTTTCGGTTTAAAATCTGCATTTCGGTGCACCTCTACTTTGAAGTGTATGTGAAGCCACAATTTTTAGCTTTGGATGATTTAGAGCAAACAAGAAAAATTAGCTTTTTAAATAATTTTACAAACAACATTTAGGTTTAGCATCTGTAGCATATAGAGGAGCATAACCCAACAATCCATCTGGGCTACCCGGCACTGCAAGGGTTAAGTGCTCGTTTTTGTCTAGGTGCTAAAATAAAAAAAAGTTACACTCACCGGATCCTCTGAGCCGGCTTGCTCTTAGACCGGTCCCTGGAGTCTCTCTCTGCCTGCGCTGCAGTGGTCTAAGGTCCCTGAGTCATCACATACTATACATAGTGTATAGAATGTGAGGTCACAGAGGGACATACCATTGCTGCAGGGAAGAGAGAGCAAGGCTGAAGGGAGCAATGTGACAGCCGGCTCCACGGTTGGGATGAGCATAACTTTTTTTTTAGCACCTAGAAGAAAAAAAAACAGCACTTAACCTTTACAGAGCATGCAAAGCCCCACTACAAGGGTTAAGAACAGTTTTGCCTGGAGTTCTATCTTATAGTTTCATCTGCTTACATTTTGTCTTTCTGGTTCCCTCAACATCCCCCACTTCCATTAACATGCTAAACAATTTCCATTTTTATTACACACCTTTAGACCCAGTGATATCACGGCACTTCTATATGCAATGCAGACTGATCATGGTTGGTGACTGCCTCTGGAATCAGTGCTCTAACTGAACAGGAACAAGCATGTGGCAAGTGAAGGGAGATCTGATCCTGCCCTACCAAACATGTCACAATTAATGATATAGCAGTGTCTGATCAGCAAAGGGACCATTCTTTACAACGCACAGGAGACGAGGAGAAGTATTTCCCACTCATCACCAGTGAATGAGCTTCCGTTCTGTACTAACACAGAGAGGACACCAGAACGGGAGACACTGCGGCTGCAGACATACGGAGACATAGGACGAGCCACACATACATAACTGGAGCAAAAGACACACAAAGATACATCAACACCCCCGATACATTCCTGCTACAGACCGCTACTACCTGTCACCCTGCACACGGACGCCGCCATATTGTTTACACTGCTTCAACAAAACTTTATTACACTGAAACAAGCGCAGACTCCAGGACTTCCATTGGACGAGACGCTAGAGGGTGATTTGAAGGAGAAATTACCTCATTACCATGTGACCTCCTGCTCCCAATGTTGGAGAAATTGAGGATAAGATGCATGGTGTTCTGTGTGGATGTATAGTGAAGGCTCTGGGAAACTTTGTATGTAGCCTGACACTGTACATACATGCAGAGCACCCTGCAGACCCACACTGTACATACATGTAGAGCACCCTGCAGACCCACACTGTACATACATGTAGAGCACCCTGCAGACCCACACTGTACATACATATATACAGAGCACTCCAAAGTCTCAAAACACACATCCCCCTCACACACACATTATGCATATCTACATACATAGCACCCCAATGACTCACATTATGCATGCCTACACACATAGCACCCCAAAGTCTCACATGCATACCTACATACATAGTACCTACACACACATAGCACCCCAAAACCTCATATTATGCATACCTACAGACAAATAGCACCCCAAAGTCTCACATGCATACCTACAAACGCATAGCACCCCAGAGCCTCACATTATGCATAAATACACATGCATAGCACCCCAAAGCCTCATGTTATGCATACCAACACACACATAGTACCCCAAAGCCTCACATTATGCATACCGCGCTCCAAAGGCTCACATTATGCATACCTACACACACATAGCATCCCAAAGCCTCACATTATGCATACCTACACACACATAGCATCCCAAAGCCTCACATTATGAATTCCTACACACACATAGC